CAGCTCGACCGGGGAAGGACCACGTCTCACAGAGTACCAGCTTAAAATAGTATTAATGCTGCTGTGTTTCGTATGATGAGTGTAGAGAACCGGATACCCTTTTTACTGGAAACGAGGCATTCCATCTTAGTCCTCACGGGTGACAACGCATCTGAATTTTAATTTGTAATCGAGGATAGATGTAGATGTCTATGGGCCGCAACAACTACTTACCATCAGGTGGACTGTGTGCTCGTTTGTCACCCTATCCTATAAAAGAAATTGTGCCGACAGAGATCGCATTTGGGTTGATTACGTACGAAAATTAAAACCAGCGCATTATCTATACGTTACAAAAGTTAAACAGCAATATCAAACGTAATCATATTTATTAAAATGTTCAAATCTTTAACAATATTATAATAAAACTTAGCAAAACAGTAATAACTATATTTATCTATCGAAACACTACAACTGTAGTAAGACATTTTGCAGCAAATTTGAATTTTGCTTAGAGCAAAATTTATAACGCGCTTCTATCATATGTCTCTCGTAAGAAATATTAATGTTAACGTTTGTGTTTGTCTTCGTTTATGAGCGTGTAGTGTGCTATTGGAGGAATGAAAATGCAGTATTTAGGTACACACTGTATATGCTTAATGGACGTATTATAAAGGTTAGAGACTGCTTTTAGGAGTGATTAGGTCAAAATAGAGCGAAAGCCAATATTTGTACTAAAAGTATATTGTTGTTGTGTGTGATTTTATACAATATAAACGACCTAACTGCTGATGATAAAAGACTACTTTCTTCAAATATATACCAGTACTCGACTAATTTACACCTGAAGATAAGTGGTGATGAAGACAGTACAGCACACGGACAGCTGACTTAGCTTAACAAAAGCCTATTCACTCTTGCCTTGAAGACACCCACATTATAATCTGGTGGAAAGACAGATGCTGGTAAATTATTCCACACCTTCGCTGTCCCACTATGGACGATGAAGCAAACTGTTCGGTTTGAATGTATGTCATGCTTACAACGGGTACATGCTTCACCTATTTGTAAGTGAATGCTGAGCCAATAAACATATACATCCTCGATTAAAAATCAAAATGCAGATGCGTTGTCATCCCTGCGCGCTAAGATGGAATGCCTCGTTTGCAGTTAAAAGTATATACTCGTACTGCTGTTCGAATTCCCGGCGACCAATTCTTTCCGATCGGCTTGACTCACTGGCACTGTGAAAAGAAGATCTTTTTATATTTTATCACATCTACCACGGGGTTTAGAGCTCTTAGGAATTGTTCGGACTAATTCCGGCCGCACAATTTCACCATCGCATATCGCGACAAAAATCGCAATACCATCCATACGATCTCGATGACAGGCGGTCCACCACTGCGCGATTTAAAAGAAATTTTCTTCCTCGCTCAACTTCCTTGTGGAATCGACTACCACCAGAGATTTTTCCGGATCGATACGACTTAGGAACCTTCAAAAAAAGAGCCTATTCCTTTTTTAAAGGGCGGCAACGGATCTGTAAATCCCCTGGTGTTGCGGTTGTTCATGGGCGGCGATAATCACTTACTATTAGGAGAGCCGTATACTTGTTTGCCCCCTCTACTATAAAAAGAACACTTACCATACTGCTGTTTCGCTTGTATTCTGTAAGAGCGTGGTCTTTCCTCGGTCGAGCCAACCAATTCTACTACAACTATAATATAGATGTAGCACTTAAAAGCTGTTGCGTATATGCCATCATTACTTTACTTAGTTGACATTTACTTCAAAGGGTAATTACCCTTTGATCATGATCATAAAAAATAATTTAATTACGTTCTAATGTTAAAGTTAGAATTTAACCTTTTTAAACTTAAATATACATGTTTTGTTTAAAATTCGTTTGAGGTGGCGGGCGTTTCAGAATTGCATGAAACTTATTTCTTACAGGAAGCGGATTATTGAATAAAGCGTCGTAAGTATTATAATTCAGAGGCAGACAACACGACCAACTTGCGCAGCGGAAGTCAACTTGGGAACGGCGTTGAAGCTTCATTCTGATTTATATTATCTTTGACTTGACATCTGGCGAAAATTAAAATATATTTCTTAACCTTAATAATAATGGTATTCAGTTTGTATCTATTGTGTTCATTCCATTGTCGGGTCACTTTCATCGTTGCCGACTGATACCTCTTTTGAAGATTAGTTCAAAGAACAGCCTGGATTCATCTTTTGAACCTTGATACCTTCTCGTGGGTGTTGCAAGAAGTCACAGAGGGAAATTGCAACAGTAGATGGACAGCATCATTTTCTGATGACAACTCAAAAATATAAAATACCACGGTTGCCGATCCGCCTACCGTAGTAGCTGTGGCAAATTTCCCTGTGCGTGAGGCAATTTATGGGGGAGACCTATGTTTAACATTGGACTTTAATAGAAGACAACACTGGACGAAACACGGACAAAGTAATGTAAAATCGAAGTCAAAACATAATTTTTTTTTCAAAACTGGTTTTGACAAAGGGGGCAATTGTTTTTTTTGTTATAAGTCTCTAATAAACGCAAGATAAGTCCCAGATCAACATGGGACAAAAATATTATAAACCCTCTTAATATATGAAATAGAGTAGGTGCTGAAATAAAGATAATTTGAGTTGCATTAGGAAGAAAACGTCTAGGAAAGAAGACGTCTAGTAACGGTGTAGGAACACGCACCGCCACACATCGCCCCGCGGGTGTCGCAGCAGGCGACAGAGGGAAACAAATGAGAGGTGGGCAGCAGCGTCTTCCTAATAAATACTAAAAAAAGAACTGCGGTTGCCATCTCGCTTGCCAAGCGCTGCAGCGACGGCAAATAGGCATATGAGGCAATTTATGGGGAGGCCTATGGTTAACATTGGACTTTAATAGGCTGTAATGGATAAATGGACGAAATATGGACACAGTAATGTATAATCGAATAAACATAATATCATGAATCTATGTCGTAGCATATTTGATCGCTGTTGAACCTAAGCAAATATTTCACCGCTAAGACCGAATGTGCAGCCGTCACAATAAACAATTATGGAACTTCTAAAACAATTTCGATTGCGGATTAACGTGGTAGAGCCATGCCGCAACTATATTATGGTTGTAGCACGAATGTGTCGGCGAAACCGGTAGGACCACACTGTGACAGAATACCAGCGTAAAATAGCAGCTTAATGCTGTTATGTTTGAGTGGTGGGTGTAGAGAACCGGAGAGACTTTTTACTGGAACTGAGGCATTAAATCTTAGTCTTCAGGGGTGGTAACGCATCTGCATATTGATTCTTAATCGAGGATAAATGTACATGTCTATGAGCCACAGCATCCACTTATTATCGGGTGAACTGTGTGCTCGTTTGTCACCCTTATTCTATTAAAAAAATATTTGATTGAAGACTCAAAAACACTTTTCATCAATTAACGCTATCGTTTCGCATCAGATTGAAAATCAACCGGTTCTACTAAAGCGGGTTATGAATGTAACGCCGTCGAATATTCAATTATCGAGGCCCGAAAGACAACGGATGATAAACGTTGTTGGAACACGAGACGTAATTGTTTCTAGTTCCCTTAAATTCTGGGAAATGGTTCCGATCGGATCGGCGCTTACGAGTTGTTTCAGAACTGAAATTCAACGTTTAGCATGCTGCAGTCGCGGTCACTTCTGTTAACAAAAGACGTGAGGAGCTGTATAAAGATGTATAGTATGTTATGCTTAATGTTTCGATCATATAGTAAGATTTTATATAAATTCTTGAAACTTTTGTAATTACATTTATTTAAATGATGTTGGTAACATAAAACCTTTTTTTATTTATTGAATTATCGAAAAATAAACTTATAAAAAAGTTAAAACCGACATCAAAAAACTAAAAATAATAAAATAATTTTCACATAAGATAACGTAATCTGAATTAGAGGTTTTAATTCTTCAGTACATTTTGTTTTAGAACCAACTTCAAATGCTATGAAATTATGTGGAAATTATTAAATTCTTTTTAAGTTTTGAAATCGGCTTATATCTTTTTATAGGTTAATTTTTGATCTTTTTGAGTGGATTATGCTTAGTCCTAGATAGCATTAAAATAATCAAATAGAATGTTTTCTAAATATTGACACTAAAAATTCTAATTTTATGTAACTTCAAACGAAAATATTCGAGATATAGCCTATTTAATAAAAAAAGGATCATTAAACTCGGTTCACCAATGGCGAAGATATAATTTAAAAAATACAAAAAAAAAAACATAATATAGACTGATTGAAAGGAAGAGGTTTTTTCAATTTTTTTAAATCTGTTAAAACAGGAAAACTAGGTAATTATCAGAAAAGAATAAGAAAAAGTCTCATAAGTTATAGTTAGAGTAAAGAGCTCTAACTATAACTGTAATCTGATAAACCTGAATAAAAGTAAATTAGAGCCATTGTTTTAAATATTAATTTGTACTTTTGTTATGAGCTCATATTTTTTTGTTTTAAATAACAACAATCAATAAATAACTAATAATGAATATTTTAATTGGATATAAAAAAGAGTGAAATCGCGTAATGGTGTAAAGAATATCCACTAGCCCATGTCTTCCCGTGGATATCTTAAGAGGGAAAGACAGGTACAACCAGGAAATTGGTTGCAGCGCCTTCGTAATAATAACCAGAAAAACAAAATCTGGGGTTGCTGATCCACCTCGCAAGCTTGGCAACTATAGCATAAATCCCCCTCATGAGGCAGTCTGTGGGGAGTTCCATGTTCAGCAGTGGACTTGACTAACTTTGTTAAACTTTGCAGCCCAAGTATACAATATCACAGTTTCAAAACGCAAAACGAATAAATGTTATGACCTACGAAATTCCTATAACATGCTTAACTGAGTAAAGATTTTGTTTAGGAAACTGAATCTGAGATATTTTTGTTGAGTTTTTTTATTTCTGACCTCATCATTATAATGCACCAATTTAATTAAACAAAGAATGTTTACTGTCCTCATAAAGTTGTCAATAGATAGTTTATTTCCTTCACCTGTGAGAATTTTTCCTGCGCGTCCAAGATATCGATGAAAAGTGATAACCTGTGGTCCATAATAGGAAAACCATTCCTTGGCTGCTGCAACAAATGGCGTACAGCCTCTCTCACGGCAGCCGGTGTGCTAGGGGTCATCGGAGTTCCTAAGGTAGGGTTGGGTCCCATCAGACCTGATAGTCCGTGGAACGTCGCCGAAGGTTTCGGGGCACTCTGGACCCCGCTACCAGGCAACGACAGCCGCCTGGACGTCGACGGCGGCACAGCACCGTAACCGTTCGTCATAATAGCAGGCCGTTGCAACTGATAATCACTTCTCGAGGACGGTATGAAACTCGCGCGCGGGAGAGTCGACATCGGAACGGGTCTGGGCCGACGAGGGACCGGCTGCAGGATTTGCCCACACCACTCATCGTCGATGGAGCTAATGGAGTGCGGGCGTCGGGTGAGTTGGATTTGGGGTCGTGGGGAGACGACACTCTGTGGTCGTCTGGTTCGCCGCTCGGTCTGGATCGGAGTTGGCGGGGTATACGAGTAGGGGGAGAAGCCGCCAAAGTCATCGTTGACTGCGGTTTGGGTGGGCTTTTGTTCGGGTGCAGGCGGTGGTGGGTCTTCCCAGCGCGTCCAAGCGAGGCTCAGCGAGTCCGGCTTGCGGGGCGGCGCTGGCCGAGGCCTGCCCGCCCCCTCGGTCATGGCGGCCGCGGCCGGCAGCGTCACATGGCGCGGCACGTGCGTCGCTCGCGGCGTCCGCCGGTCGACTGACGGCCGCCCGCCCTGCATCGACGCAGTTCCCGCCGATGTTTTGGTTTTCAGCGGTTATTTTTTTAACGGCGATAGACATGGCTTTAGTGTATTGAGTCTTCAGAGGGTGAACATTAATTAAAATATATTTATAATTTATAGTTGGGATCATCACACAGTGAGAGTATCACTTGGTAAAACAGGTTCATTTTTGTGAATTAGAAATAACTTTATATTATATTTTATAGTACTAGTTCATCAACTGCTTAGCGGTGAAAGGAAATATCGTTACGAAACCTGAATGTGAGAAACAAAAAAGTTAAGGACTTGTTAAGCCCGCCAAACTGCATTAGAATCACTCAACGGGGTCTTCTCTGCTTAGATATAAATATGTATTTCTCGGCTCCAAAGAGTCAGTGATTCCTTCATAAGGCAATGTGTACGCTTTTACAACAATTTCCCAGAATATATGCAGGACCTATCTATCATAAAGTAAATTTTTTTATGAAACAATAGTACTTAATAAGAGTTTACTATACTACTAAATTCTAACAGTCTAGTGTAAGAGTATCCACTACTCCATATCGTCCCGAGGAATGAAAAAATTAAACAGGTGATGTTTGTTGCGGCAGCTCCTGATAACAACGCAAAATAATTAAAAAAACTGCGGTTGCCAACCTGCTTGCCAAGCGTGGCAACTATGGCAAAATCGCCCCGTAAAGCAATCTATTAGGAAGGCCTATGTTCAGCAGTGGACTGTTGTAGTTTGTATTGATGGATGGACACTACTTAACCCCTGGGAATAAGTTGATCGGTATCATGCTGTTTCTAAATGTTTTCATACCTAATTGTGTAAAATATTATAGGTATTGTAAATTAATGTTTAAAAACAATCCCTCCGGGTTTCTTGCTGTTCTACCCAGGACAGAGGTCTCTTCCGAACTAGTGGTAAAGCTTGAATGACTTTTAATAAGTATTGTTGCAATCTATATTGAATAAAATATTTATATTCTATGCAGCTGTAATTTTTTCAGTGGCGTTAAACAACATGTTTAATTTTAGGAGTCCACTTAGGGCGAACATTCATTAAAATAGCTTTACGTGAGTGAATCACAGTGTAACATTTAATATCTTAAGTAATTTTAACGCTTGGTTGGCTTAGGTGATGAAAGCGTATTTTTAGGTAAGAATAAAGTTTCATCGAACTATACAAGGAACTTTTATTTTTTATGTGTTTATTATTTATTCATGCTCACACAATTTATAGGAACAAAGACGACTTAATACTAAAAGCATTCTCTCCCAGTCAACCACAGGGTAGTAATATAACGTCGAAGGTGTTTACAGAAAAAAATCACAATAGAGGTATATTATATATAACTTTATAAATTGTATTTATCTTTTAATAGAAAATACTAGTAATGTTATCAACATTCCTAGTATGTATTACCATTTACCACTCCTACTAAGCTTAAAATACTTGCGTTAGGTATGGTTCACAACAGTAGTCGGAATGCGGATTCGAACCTATACCCTTCGTTATACAATTCGAGGTCTATAACCTGTCATCAGTCTAATGTCGCATTAAATTTCCTATGTAAAACTGTGTAATTTAAATGCAATGAATGGATGGATAGTGTGAAATAACAGTAAAGATAGCGACGTTTTTATTAGTTTTCCCCTACACGATTTACGAAACAGAGGAGGTATACTTAATGAAAAGGTAACAAACTTGTCATCATAGGGTACTAGGAGCGGGCAGTTATCTTAAACCAATCCGAGAATGTACCATAAATCACAAGTTTACAACTAAAGGAGTAATTTCACTCCATCGCATTCGTTCGCTACAAATTTAAGTGCATTTTAAGTTAAATTTCCATTGCGCACGTGTTGTAGCACCTAGGAAAGTTGCCGTGAACGTTGAGACTTAAGAAAAGTAAATAAGTTGCTTTTAGAGTCGACACTGCTATGTAACCTTACACTTGGAGAGTTTACTGCTACGAGTTTAATGCTACGATTGTTATGCTACGCTTTCTTCACTTTCGTTCGCACTGCGGCGGAACCGATTGGTTGTTTTCGAGTCATATAACTGAGAATTAAATTAGCTTTTTAATCTTTTATATTATCATAGTGAATAATGAGCTTAATATTCACCTGATTTACATTATTTTTAAAGTTTATTAAGTTATTTAAAGTTTGGCTACAGATGCGTTTTCAGGGGTGACAAGAAAACTATAGCCAAACTTTGAAGACAAAGATTAAATGCCTCAGATTCTATAATTAAAATATATCGTTATAGTTATCATCATCATCTTTGCTTATGATTCACTAACTCTTGTTATCTTATTTTCACCCCCGCATCTTAATAGCTTAAATAGTCAAAATAATAAAAAGAACTGCGATGGTCAAGCCTGTCCGCCAAACGTGATCACTGTGGCAAATATCCTCCCCATGAGGCAATCTATGGAAGCGCATATGTTTAGCAGTGGAGATTTGATAGGCTGTAATGATGATGATGAATATTAATCACTGGTTTTCACACATGCTCTTATTAAATTGTCTCTCCTTCCTTATTAAAGTCTTTTATCTTCTTCTTCTCTATTTAATATGTATTTAGGCTTTTCTTTCGTTCTTTCATGTTTACAATGTACATGTTGTGAGTCATACACATACACAACAGTTAAAAGTTTGTTTTTTTACAGAATAAGGGTGACTAACGAGGACACAGTCTAGGTGGTGGTAAGTGGATGCTGTGGCCCATAAACATCTACATTTATCCTCAATCAAGAATCAAAGTGCAAATGTGTCACAACACCTATGGACTGGGATGGAACTCCTCGTTTCTAGTAAACAGAGTCTCCGGTTCTCTACACTAACCATACGAAACACAGCAGCATAAAGCGGCTATTTTACGCTGGCATTCTGTGAGAGCATGGTTCTACGGTAGGACTCCTACCCCGGTCAAGCAGACCCATTCGTGCCACAACCATGATATAGTTGCAGTGTAGCAGCCCATATACGTCCCACTGCTGAGCATAGTCCTCCTCTTATTTCTGAGAGGGTTTTAGGGCAAGTAAGTGTCCGCCGCACTGCACCAATGCCAATACACAACGAATAAGCGAGTATAACTTGTCTTTATAATAGACATTTTATAACCGAAAGTTTGAAACTATTCAATTTAATGTCTAAAACAAATAAGTAATTCGTTTCCTTTATTACATAGATGCCAGTTGTTGGCAGCGTTCCAGATAACATAAAATACTGAGGAATACATTAATCTATTAAAGTTATTTCCTTAAATAAAACTTAAGAGTAAACTAACTCTGCCCAAATTCATAATCTCTACATCAATACTCAGGGCAATAATAGAACTGATCGTTCTAAAAATACGTCCACGCTTCAAACATTCTTAACGAACGTTCCTAACAAACAAATTATAGTTTCCGTTTATGGTCTTATCAATCTACTTAAGATCGTCTCGCTTAATCTCGAGAAGCAAATGGCGACATTCGACTCTAATTCAATTTTCATTTAGTCCATTTTGAGTATTTTTTTAACTAAAAGAAATCAAATTTAAAATTGAAAGAAAAATATTTGAATTTTATATTGTTAATGGATTTTTTTCGTGCATACCTTTTTGTGGATGTATTTTACTATAATATTGTGTAAAACTCAAAGTTCATTTTCGTATAACACAAGCCTTTAACCCAAATATCGATTAAATCTCTAATGCGTAATAAGTCCAATTAGTTACCAAAAGAAAACTAACATTAAAGGTAGCTCGAATTCACAAACACACGCATTTCTTATAATAGTAATCTTATTATTAATTTTCTCAAATATTTGCTACTCCTTTGAAAGTTGAATAAAAGTAAACGTCCCTCTGCTTTACTCACGCACTTTCCTTTTCTGAGAGAGTTATCAAAACAAGAGTTTTTTCTGTTGCGCTCATTTTATCACGTCATCTCGAGTAATAGCTAAAAATCTGTGTTTGCTCCCTGAGCAATACTAATCGTTGAGTAAGAACATATTAGTAAAGCTGCAACACACATGTATATTTTAAATCTTAGTAGTATGTAAGTTTATGTCATAAGTTATATATAAGTAGTACCTACTTTTGGCAATAAACCAGCAAAGAAAATATTTTGTATAAATAGGTACCAAAACATTTTAGATACGTCATGGTAGTGATCGCCTCATTCCCAGGTATTATTATCAACCACTCTTTAGTACTAGAATAATCCTTACTAAGCAATTTTTTCGTAATAAGCTTTTTGATAGATGGGTCCTGCATATATTCGGGGACTTTGTTGTAAAAACGTATGTATAAATTGTCCTATGAAAGAATTACTGACTCTTTGGAGTCGAGAAATAATTCACTCATTTATTTATCTATCTCAGCAGAGAAGACTCCGTTGCATTGCTCCAATGCGGTTTGGCTGACTTAAAAAGTCCCCGACTGTTTAAATTTCACAGTTTTTAAATTTCAATGTTCCCACAAATGATAAACCAGCCCTAAATAATTAAAAGTTATTACTAATTATTATCACTATTTTTAAATATATAAGCGGGAAAACGAGCATGTGGGTCACCTGATGGTAAGTGAAGACTAGCGCCCATGAACATCTGCAACACTAGGTTAATTGGAGATGCATTGCTGGCCTTTTAAAAAATTCCGCAGAAGCAAAGCTACTACTTCACGCTGGTATTCTCTGTGGTTGTGGTACTTCCCCGGTTTTATCCAACCCATCAATGCAACAGCAGAAACTTCCGCGTCGCTATACTATTTTTTTGAAAATTGCAATTAACAATTTAATTGGTGCCAGCGGGGACTGAACCCACTCGATGGAACAACCGCAAGTAGGGTCATGAAGGTAAGAGTGAAGTGGGTGGATTGAACTCCAAACCACTACTTGATGCTCTCGAGTATTGCTATTTTTGTTGCTGCACTTACAATCAAAGATACCGTATTTTAATCTCTATCGCCACTCTGCATCGAACAGTCCTGCATTTATTTTATCTTTGCACTGTTGAAAAGT